TGACACCGTGCTGTGTGTTACATCTAAGACTTGGTGCCCCGTGAGGTCTTTCTGTAGCCCTACACCATCATGCACTCTCCTCTTTGGTACTACCCCTGAGTACAGCATGGCAGGTTGGCTAGTTTATGGCCTTTCTTCCACAACACAAACTCCACAGGAAAAATCCCCAGCAGGGAATTTTGTCTGTTTTGTGCATGCTGTGTCCCAGCTGGTAGCACAGTGCCTGGCACCTCGTAGGTGCCATTATGTATTTTGAATGATTACAAATGGCTAAAGTCTCTCCAGGATGGCAGCAAGCTTCTTGAGAACAAAATCCTTGTCCAGTTCATCTGTTCTTCCCTGGTGTCCAAGGATGGCCAGTGCTAATCTGCAGTTTGGGTGACAAGTTTGTACCAGAAGTTCTCAAACTTTCTTAGTTCACTGTGCCTTTAGTATCTCCCCCCACACACACTTAAGAGAGGAGAGGGAGAGAGGGATAGAAAGTCTTAAGTAGATTCCACACCCAGCACAGAACCCAAATGCAGGGCTCAATCTCACAACCCTGAGATCTTGACCTGAGCTGAAATCAAGAGCCAGACGCTCAACCCACTGAGCCATGCAGGAGCCACTTGCCCTTAGTATCTTAATTATATTTTTCACAGAGCCCCGAGTCTAAAAGAAATACCTAGCAATGCTGTTTATCAAGCAGTTAAGTTCAAACTACTTAGTAAATGTCTGAAAAAAATAATACACATAAATTAAAAGAAAAAACTTATTTTATTTTTAATATTTCCTGTGTCTCAATTTGTAAGCCCCGTCGCCCCTCCCCTCCCATGTTCCTGAGTCCAGCGGGCAGCAGGGGGCAGCACCGGGCCATGAAGCACCTCCTCTCCTGTCCCGGAGGCGCCTACTGTTTGACACCAGGATTGTGGATTTTCGTGGTGGACAGTCTTTTTCCTGTCTGTTTGGGCACAACATGTGCATTGGTTCATTAAACAAGCACAAGATCACAGCCTAGGAGGGTGAATCGAAAGGAGAGCAAGGAAACACATTCAGAAGTCCATTGCCAGGTATTTCTTTTAGACTCAAAAATATAATTAAGATAAAATATGAAAAATATAATTAAGAATATAAGTAAGAAAATATAAAATATTTTTATAATTAAGATACTAAATATAATTAAGATACTAAGGGCAAGTGGCACCTGCATGGCTCAGTGGGTTGAGCATCCGGCTCTTGATTTCAGCTCAGGTCAAGATCTCGGGGTTGTAAAACAAAACAAAACAAAACAAAACAAAAACAAACAAACAAAAAAGATCTCGGGGTTGTGAGATTGAGCCCTGCATTGGGTTCTGTGCTGGGTGTGGAATCTGCTTAAGATTCTCTCTCCCTGAGCAGCCCGGGTGGCTCAGCGGTTTAGCGCTGCCTTCTACCCAGGGCCTGATCCTGGAGTCCTGGGATCAAGTCCCACGTCAGGCTCCCTGCAATGGGGCACGCTTCTCCCTCTGGCTGTGTCTCTGCCTCTTTCTCTCTCTCTCTGTCTCTCATGAATAAATACATAAAATCTAAAAAAAAAAAAAAGATTCTTTCTCCCTTTCTCCCTCCCCTCTCTAAGATCATGGTCTACCTCCTACCCTCTCAGGGGAACAACCTCCCCTCAAAGCCCAGGGGTGTGCTCTGCCATACTGCTTTATTTGAGTTGTTTTCCTAAGATCTCGCTGAGGTAGAAAAAGGGTGTTTCCTGATGCTTGAAGACCCCCTCCACCATCTCTACTGGATTGTTCCTTGGAAAAGATACGAGAACTCATTGTTGCTAGAGCTTTCCTTAACATCTCTCCGAGAGGAGCTGCTTAGAAAGAAGCTTGCATGACTCGGGTGGTTGAATGTCTGACTTTGGTTTTCTACTCAGGTTGTGATCTCATGGGTTTTGAGATCGAGCCTCTTGTCAGGCTCTCTGCTCAGTGAGGAGTCTGCTTGAGGGGCTCTACCTCTCCTCTTCTCCCTATTCATTTTCTCTCTCTCTCAAAGAAAAACAAAATAAAACAAAAAATGCTGCCAGAGATTTCAGCCCTTCATACAAAGACACACGTGTTCTGTATCTTTCATTGGTTTTTGGAATTGGGCCCTATCAGGTTTCTCTGGTTTGGGGGGAGAACTTCATCTTGTTAAAATGGAAAGCCCCAATCCAACAGCTTGGAAACCCTTGTCTTCTCCTCCAGGAACCAGAATGAGAGATGTTCTTGGCTGATGGAGAAGCTGCCTCGGGGCATGGCATCTCACAGTAGGCCTCTGCCTGCCCGAGCTGCCAGAAAGGATGGCTGGCCTGTGTGGGTCCCATGGGGCTCCTGCATGCAGCCGAGCTTGACAGATGCCCCTTTTTCTGTGTCAGAGCTGGTACAAGGGCAGGAGGCCCAGGACCTGGGGTCCCCAGCTCTTCCAGGATGTTTGGCCTGTCCACACTTTCTACTGCCCCCAGGTGAGGGAGGTGGTAACAGTACAATCTCCACAACTTCTTCAGCACATCAGCTGTTTCTTCCAAAGATACTAAAAGCTTAGTCCTTTGACTTGTTAAATATTGGCTATAATTTGTGTTACTCAACTGGAGGTGATGCATCGGTGATTATTACATTGATTGGGGGTTTTATTTGGCAGGAAAGAAGGCATATTATTATGAGTTGTGGGGGTTGCTGGGGTTGGGGGGCGGTTCGAGCGGCTGCTGGAATATTAACGGGGAATCAGCAAGGTCATTGTAGTACCCATGGCAGGAGAATTGTGTTCCTGTCCCCTATGTCCCTTCCTCTGAAACTGCCTGAGCAGATAGGTTGCTTGCTGAGCCATCTTTAGAGTACCAGTAGCTGACCAGTCACTCACCTCAGCCTATAGCCTGGACAGGAGGACATGGCTGGCTTCACAGTTTTGCCCTGAAGCAGAAATCCCTTTAGGCTATATTGGGTGCTGCTCTTGTCTTAGACACCCCCAGTCCTTGCCCCCACCCCTGCGCCCTGGATCTTCCTCAGCATCTCTTTCTGCTTCATTTTCCTTCCAGGGAATGGGGCCAAGAGTAGCTCTGATCCCCAGCCCTACCATGCTAAGGACCATATCCTGTAATTCTAGTCCATATCTAAGAGATCCTCATATTCTAGCATTGTCCAGTGATACCCCTAACTTAACTTCCTTGGTTTGGTTATCTTAATCTAAGTTGTGACATACCAGAGTCCGTGTTCTAATAAGAATAGATATTGCTTCTCTTGAGATTCTTAGAAACAGGAATAATTGTGGGATTCGGGGTCTCTGGGCAGCTATGGGAACAGATATTTTTTGAGACTCTAGAAATTCTAGATTGTTCCAAATCAGAATAGGATTTCACTGAGAGTGGATTCTACCCCAAATCCATGATATAAACCATCCTCTTTTCATTCTTTCTTCTATCAAACAACATTCCTTGTAAGCTGTCTTCAAGTGATTGATTGCTTTGGGGCCTAGGTTTCTGTCTATTAACTAGAAGACATAGCTTCCTTTGCCAAGCATTTATAGACCAGTTGAGCTTCTGTTTATACTTCTCCTCCTCACCTCCAAATCATTGAGCTCTGGAAGGCCAAGATTCTTAACTGGTTCAGTGCTGAGTATCCATTCCCAAGACTATTTCTTGGCACATAGAAGAAGCTTGATAGGGCAGCCCGGGTGGCTCAGTGGTTTAGCGCCTGCCTTCGGCCCAGGGCGTGATCCTGGAGACCCGGGATCGAGTCCCACGTCGGGCTCCCTGCATGAGGCCTGCTTCTCCCTCTGCCTGTGTCTCTGCGCCTCTCTCTCTCTCTGTGTGTGTGTGTGTGTGTCTCACGAATAAATAAATAAGATCACTTTTTTAAAAAAAGCTTGATAAATATTGATTGATTGATTATTTGAGTGGTTCCTGTTGATATCGCTGAGGGAAATCAGAATAAGTCAGTCTACACCTTTAGGCAGACCAGAAGTACCCTCCACTGACTCAGATTCCCTTTGGTTGAATTCATCTCCAACCTTATTCTTCATGCACCCTCATGGACCTGTTAACACCTCTCTTTTGGGCTATCTGCTGGGGTTGAAGGGACCCACATACTGTTTCTCCTCACTGGCAGCCAGCTTCTTTCAGGAAGGGCCCCTTCTTCACTCCTGTTTTTATTCTCAGGGCCTTGGGAACTGTCATTGCTCATGGAATTTTCTATCAAACCGAAATTTAGTTACATAGATGCAGCCTGTGTGTTTTAGTTTGGACTCAGTACTTTTCCAGAATGAATAAAAGGGGTTGTTCAAAATCCCACATATTATGTCCACCTGTTCGTGCCTATTACCATCTTCTCAAGTCCTATAATAAAGGTTAAGTCTTGAACGACTATTAAGACAATAGATAGCAACTCCAAAATATAGGAGGGAAATCTGCAGAATTCAAATTAATAAAACATCTATTTAAATGTTCTCAAAGCATACCATTATGTCAACTCTGTTTTTTGCTAAATTTAATGCCCATAAACATTTCATTACATTTGAAAATAATTTGTGGCTTTGACTTTTCTCACTTCACAGCAATTCCTGAATTTGTACAATGAGTGCTGTGAAATCTTAGCCAACCATAAATTAAATGAATTGCATAAAGCCAAATAGATGTGAAAGCAAAATTATAAAAAATCATTTCAAAAATGTTTAGGACAGAAACAACTTAATACAGACGTGGGTGTATTTTAATATGGTTGATACAGTATGGGACAGAGTCCTCTAAAAAAATACCTGCATTCAGGGCCCACAGATATTTCAGAGCAAATTCCCTCAAACTATAGAATTCCTTCATAACAATGCTTCAGCACTAGCTTTTCCCCTCTAGGATTTTTAGACTAATTCCTGTAATGTCATTTGTATAATCTGATTTCTCATCTGATCAATGTGAAATATAACACCCTTGATCTTTGACTGTTTTGCTCATTGAATGGCTTCTGCCTTTTTTTTTTTTTCCTTTTAAATCTAATCTCTGTCTCATCTTCTTCTTTCAGGAATCCTGTTCACGATGCTGGTATTTGGACCAGCCTGTGGATTTATCCTGGGCTCTTTCTGTACCAAAATCTACGTGGATGCTGTCTTTATTGACACAAGTAAGGAGTATATCTCAATTTCTTACCACCACCCCCAAGTATGTCCACCATTATAAGGAACCTTCAGCCTTTGGGTTCTAAAGCCCTCCTTCTAAGGGGTATCCTTGGGACTTGGACCTCAAGCTACTGGTTCACCAAATATCAAAGGAAAGAACCTGAGTGTAGGCTCAAATGGCCTGGCCTCCAGTGTCTACCCAGAGGCTGAATAACCCAACCCCATAGTTGGGTTTTATTCCTCAAATCTGGATCTTCCTCATCTGTAAATTAAGGGTAACAAGAATTATATCTGTTTCATGGGGCTACCCTTTGATCCAGCAGTGGGCTAGTTAACCTAGGCTAGGTGTTGCAGTGGTAACACACAGTTCCCAAACCTCAAGTGGTTTTATACAACCAAAGTTTACTTCTTGGGTGCACTGTAAAACCAGCACAGACTGGCAGTGTTGGGGAGGGTGAGACTTGGCTCATCATGGTTACTCCAGGAAATTAGGCCATGGTGAGTTGCACATTGCTTCTGGAAGCTTCTCCTCATGTTTCAGTGGCTAAAACAGAAGTCACATGGTTTATTAGTCTTCTCTTGCTGTGTAACAAATTACCCCAAACTTAGTGACTTAAAACAATGCCGGGGAGGTGTTTATAATATTATATCCCAGTGTATTTCTGTGGGTCTGGAATCCAGAGCAGCTTGGCTGGGTGTTTCTGATTCGAGGTCCCTCATGAGGCTGTAGTCAGGGTGTTGATGTGGTCTCCACTCATCACAAAGCTCAACTGGAGAAGATCCAACTTCTAAATTCATTCCCAAGGCTGTCGACAGGCCTGGAGCAAACAACCCAAAAGAAATGGGGAGAGAGCATCTGAGACAAGAGCCATGGTTCGTTTATAACTTTGTCTCAGAAGTGACATGTCATCCTAGGGGGTGGGATCATGGGAGGCCATCTGAGATACTACCTGCCATATGTGGTCATGGGTTGACCGTGAGCCCCCAACAGGACGCTCTATTTCTGTGCAGTTCAGTGAGCAGAGAAGCCATGTTTCCTTTCTCTCTGAGAAAAGAGTACGGGAAGCCATCCCAACTTCTCCTCCCCATACCAATCTATTCTCAGAATCAATAAGAGCTCAGTCCCTGGCTTCTCAATCCATCATCTCCTGACAGTGCTAAATTTACTAATTCACTCCAAAGAAATAATGTGGTTTTAAATCCAATCAAGTCACTTTGTGATTCACTCCATTAATCCCACTGATATATTTACTTGTACCTAATGATGTTACAAATTTGCAAGTGGGGGGAAAGAAAAGAATCAAAGGCAGCCTTATTTACTTATCCTTTTAAAATGCTGGCTTTGTTCAGGAGGTGTGATTGGATACTGCTCTTTTGCAGCAGCTGGTTGACCCTTTGAACCCTACTCCTAGCGAGTGGGATGAGGGGTGGCCTGGTCAGGGAAACAATACACAGTGGCAATCGGCTACCATCTTGCTTGTTTAGGCAAAAACCAGTGAAGGAAGGGGATGCACCCACCCCATGCAATGGGGAAGGCTGCCTGGAAGAAGAGGCCAAGCACCCAGGCAGAACTACCCTCAGCATATTAGTAGGGGCTCCCTTGGATCAAGTCCTATGAGTTACCAGAACCTCTGAGCCAGGAACCTCAGATCATTCTCTTCCAGCCCTTTCATTGTACAGATGAGGAAACAGGTCCAAGGAGTGTATCTGTATAGAACCCAGGGCTCCTGAGTAGGCCCGTGGGCATTTCCACTTCACAGCCCCTTCGTCAGGAGTCCCGCTGGGAATGAAATAGCATCTTTTCTGTATGCTGGAATGATCAAGGGGTGGGCAAGGATTTGGAGGGGCCTAGCCAGTTCATTCATGGTCCCCCTCAGTGTGCTGTTCATCCGCTTCGGGCTTTTCCCTCAGTCTGGAGTCCTGCCCACAGTCCCGGGTGGTCAGCATCTTTCTTCACCCGTCAGGGCCCTGAGTTAATCGACATCATCTGTGGTTCTAGATCACCGACAGTTTGAAACCTCCCTGGCTGTAAGACAGATGGGCGCATTCCTGGTCCAGCTGGACATCTTGCTGATGGCAACCCCCAGCCACCCCCCCCCCCCCAACACACACACACACAAGTGAATAGCATAAATCCCATCCAGTGGGTCTCTAAGATAGGGAAGGATTCTCTGTGAGTCACCATCTTTTGTTTGCATCCTTGCTGAAGGTGCCGGGAGGGCTGATGCTGCTCTTTACCAGTAGAGGGCAGAAGAATATAATTTATTCTCTTGGAGAACAAGACACAGAATTCTATAGTTTCTAGCAATTTTGATGATTTCTAACCATGTGACTTAAACTTGTTGTTCTGTCTGGAATGGATCCAGGCTATATTTTGAGAAGGAGGTTCTCAATTCTTTAGGGCTCACCCTCCTGTATTTTTTTCTTCACCAGTGAAGACAGAGTCCCTCTTGAAGGCTGTCCAACCTGTGAGAGGGTGTCCTGAAGCATGAATGGAAAGGGCCAGGCACACAGCGGAGAGCTGGGGAAGGGGACTGGAGAAAGTAGTGTTCTGGAACCTGTGGGCAGGCGGGCAGGCGGGCGAGGCGGACGAGGCAGAGCCCTTGTGGTGGGGCAGATGGAGAAGAGGATGTGCCTGTGCAGCCTGGCTGCAGCTGAGGAGACAGGGTGAAAGGGGAGGCCCCAGTGAAGAAGGCTGGTTGCAGTCTGTGTGGTGGGGAGGTGGTGGGTTGTAGGAACAGGCCAGCCATGGGATGGACGGACCCCGCGGGCAGTCCCCCTGGGAGGACTCGGCTGGCCATGCATAGACCAAGGGTTCTGCTGCTCTACATCTGTGTCTGATCCCTGCATGGCTCCCTCATACTCCTCTTCTTTAGGATAGATGCCTCTCGTGACAGCACAGGAAAAGAATGATGGTGCTGCTAGAATTGCTTTTGTAGAATACCTTTGTAAAGCTGAGACCCGTTCAGAACAGAACCTAGAAAAAAGGAGGACTTGGTATCAGAATGTGCCCCAAAGCCTCAAATCAACCATCCTTAACAGTGGGTTTATCAGAAGATTGAGAATGGCAGCCTTGAACAGACCGCTTATTAAAGTGGTATGTAGATGGCCTCATCTGAACTTTAGAACATTCTTCTTGGAGGGTGGGTGTTACTGTTATCCCACTTAACAGCGGAGTTCTTCTTATGCAGAGATGATGAGTTCTACAGGGTTCTGGTGCTGGAATCAGACCTCCATCTTATTTTTTTTTAAGATTTTATTTATTCATTCATTCATGAGAGACAGAGAAAGAGGCAGAGACATAGGCAGAAGGAGAAGCAGGCTCCCTATGGGGAGCCCGATGCAGGACTTGATCCCAGGACCCCGGGATCTCACCCTAAGCCAAAGGCAGATGCTCAACGACTGAGCCTCCCAGGCATCCCCAGACATCCATTTTAATCTTAGCTACACCCCTTCCAAGTTGTGCAGTCCTGGGGGCATTTCTCTGTGAGGGTCTATGTGTGGATGACATGTGTTAATCATGCAAAGCATGTAGCATGGTGCCTGGTAGGTAGTAGGCACACGGTAAGCCAAAGATTCTCATTTCCACAGCTAGTAGGATGCAAACCCCACGCCCCTGTCTGACTCCAAACTGGGCAGTTTGTGTCCTTGGAATTTCTCCAGGACTTTTGCCAGAAGGCTGCCTCCTTCCATGGACAAAGGCCTTGCTGAGATGACCTAACCTCATCAGCACACACAGACTCTCATCCTGAGGCAGACCCCTTATGGCTGCATGGCATTTGTCCCTGGAATAAGATATGTCCGTATGTTTGCTTCATGGAAAAGGTCAACCAGCCAGGAACTGCCTGCTCTGCCACTCCAGGCCTGGCTGCAGGAGTCGTCAGATTCCTTCATGTGAGGCTAATTAGCTCAATGGCCGAGATCCTGGGCATTCCATGCTGCCCTCTTTGCTCAGCCCCTCCTTGTTCTCAGTTTCTAATTTGGTCTGTAACTTAATGATAGTTTTGGAATGCTTGAGTCTCCTAGCAAAAGTTTCAAGAAATAGATTAAACAAATGGGTAAATGGACAAAAAGAAAGAAAAGAAAAACTGCTCAGAGAGCCCAAGACACCACTTACACATCAGCGTGGCCTGGGAGTCAGAAATAGGTGTCTCTAATTTGCTTCGATCTCCTTCTCATAGTCTTTGGGTATCCTCATGGGTTGGTTGGTTACTTTTAAAATGGTTTGACATACATACATACATACATACATACATAAAAATGAATAAAACACAAAAAAAGGGATACCTGGGTGGCTGAGTCTTTGAGCATCTACCTTTGGCTCAGGGTGTGATCCCGGGTTCCTGGGATCGAGTCCCACATTGGGCTCCCCACAGGGAGCCAGCTTCTCCCTCTGCTTACATCTTTGCCTCTCTCTGTGTCTGTCATGAGTAAATAAATAAAATATTATTAAAAAAAAAAGATTTGACTCTGTTCCCAGTGATTTTTCTTTCCTACCTACCATGGTAGTAGTCCTCAGAAATGGGAGAAAAACCCCAACCCCTTGTGTTTACACAGCCTTCAAAAGAGGAAGCAAACAACTGCCAAAAGCTTGCTTGTTTTACCCAACAAAACCATGAAAACACTCCAAATGTCAGATTCTGAGACATGGCAGGGTTAGAAAAATGGATCTTGCAAAGCAGAAATTCTTCGAACCAGAGACAGCTATGCAAAGGCAGGCTTGGACTGTGCCAGTCTCATGGTGGGCAGATACCTCCATCATGGTGATCCTTTAGTCTGTTTCCATGCCTGGGATGACCAAGGGGCTGATGAGTGCCTGGGTAGAGCTTAGCTGGTCAGCCCAGAGTCCCCTGAGGATGCCATGCCTTTGCTAATGCTGCTGCTTCACTCTAGGATATTGTCCCCATCCCATTCTTTTCAATGTCTTTTTGTCCTTTATGGTCCCAATTTCATTGGCAATTAGGTACATCTAAGTAAATGATGGGTGCTTTTCATTTTTGTTCTGGGAATCTTACCACAGTCTTCATGAAAAAGTTGAACGGTAGTAATTTTCAAAGATCAAGATACTGAATACGTTGAAAGAAAAGTAAAGACATTTTCACCCCGTTCCCCATCTGTGCCTGAAACACTTTCACGATTCCAAGCCTGCCCAGGATCACTGTTCTTAGAGAGCATGAATCTTTATTTCCTAAGCCTTTTGTACTAGTCAGAGTTGGCTTGGTTCTGCTGCAATAACAAACACCTCCAAAAACCTTAGTTGCTTAGAATAATACTAAAGGTTCATTCCTCGTTCTTGCTGTATATACAGTGCAGTGACCCTTCATTCATCATAGCCTCTCAGGGACCATCTTAGGAGGATTTCACAATCAGGCAGAGCTTCAATGATCAAGCAGAGCAAGAAAGTGCAAGAGTCAGGCACCAGCTCATATGTAGCTCCACACAGAAGTGACTTGTATTCCCCCACTCATATTTCAGTGGCAAAATTCTGTGGCATGTGACTACGCCTAAGTTCACGGTAAGGGACAGGTAAGCCTCCCTGTTCTAGAAGAGGAGATCCAAATAAAGACATCAGTAGCATCTACCCCGCTATTCTTTGCCAGCCAATCTAAAAAACTCTCTTTCAGCATTAGTGATACTAGGATAGTAATTGCTGACCAGTGAGGATTGCAGGCAGGTGGGGAGGGATTTTCACCATGACTTCTGTGAAGGTGCCTCAGAAAATACTTTTGTCAGACTGGGTTCAAGCATTAGCCGTCTTTTTGGGAAGTGCCAAAATCAGGACTAGGAATCCACCCCCTAAGCCAACCCTGACCCGAGGGCAGCATGCTCCAAAGCTGAGTGGTTTCTCCTCAGAACATTATTTCTTTCCCTGCCTAAGTGCTCTGGATGGTTGCAATGGAGAGGGGGAAAAAAGAATCAATACTTCCTAAAATGGTCAACTGTGATTTACCTAAATCTCCCCCCACCCCACACTTTCCTACAGACCCCTTTCCTTCTCCTTGCCCACATGACAGGCATGCTCTAGTCTGACACAGGTCACATGCTCTTCCCTGCCTTACAAATGATGAGCGAACGTTGGCTTCCCACATGTAAGCACATACCTATGGGGAGTGAGTTGACAGGTTCACATAAACCTCTGCCTCCCCACTGCAGCATCTCTCCCTGGGATGTTTCTTCACACATAGAAGAGAGGCACTAACTTCCTAAGTAAAATAGGGACTCTCAACGAGCTACTAATTTTGTTCCTCTAAACAACCGCCAGGATATCTCTCTCTCTCTCTCTCTCTCTCTCTCTCTCTCTCTCTCTCTCTCCCCTCACATCTGCCAGCTTTCAATTCCCCTTTATGGAGCCCATCAACAATTCAGGGAGATACCACAGCTCCCTTTTACGTCTTTTGTTTTCATTCATTGCTTGGCAGCAGGTGAAAAAAACACAATGAGTAACTGAAGAAAACATTCCTGCTCAGCTACCCGAGGCCATCTGACTTCCTTTTCTCTTCTTATGTTTGCATCAAGATGCTTTCAAGATCACCTTGGGTTTTCTCCTGCCTTTTTTAAGCTTTCCCATACTCTTAAAAAAAAAAATAACCCTATACCATGAAATTCCCATTCATGTAAATATACACCTAGAAGTAGTTATAAGAGCTGCCATATACAAAGAGCCTGTGTGTCAAGTGATCCTTGCTCATTACCTCTTATCCTTGCAAGCGATCTTGGTGGATGTCACCTTTACTTTTGCAAGTGATCAAAGTAAGACTCAGAGAGGGTAAGTAGCTTGCCCAGCATCACATGCTAGTAAGCAGCAGAGCCGGGATTCAACCCTTCGCCTGCCAAAGTTTATACTCTTTCTTCTCTGATGTGCAGCAAGTCAGAAGCATCTTGTCCATTGTAGTGCCCTAAATATTACTCCTGCGTTGATGTCAAGGCCTCCAGGACAGAACCCACTGATCCTCCAAAGACCAGCAGCAAAGTTGGTGATCTTAGGCCCATTGCACAAAGCACCGGAATTAATCATCCCCCCAGGGAGCCCAAAACAAAGACTAGACAGCTCAGAAGGGCAGTGTAGCAAAGTAATAAGGAGTCTGGCCCTTGGCATCTCAATGCCTATCTTTTAATCTTCAACTCTGTGAATTTGGGTAAGGTACTTAAACTTTCTAAGCCTCCATTTTTCTATCTGTATAAGATTGGGATAATAAAAGACTCTACCTTTAGGGTTGTGTGGAGGGTTGACCAGAACAGTTAAGAATACACGCTGGGTAAAGCCTAATGCAGAGTAAGCCCTCAGTAAATGATGGCTGGGATCTTCATTAGTGGCAACTGAAGAGACTTTAGGGAGAACATTTTACAAATGGTGAAGTGCTCATCTGAGTGTCTGTGGTCCTTTCTTTTGCCAAGCCTGTCCATCCATCTGGTCTAGGCTTGCAGCCTTGTTAGTTCTTAGCTCAAAATGCCCTGACCCCATATCTAAGAATGTCCTTCTATGCTCCAGAGGTATGGGATTATCATCAAAGAGACGTTTCTAAGCAGTTCATCTGGGAATGCTCTATGAAAGGCAGTTGTAGAGAAAGACAAAAAAAAAAAAATCTACAAAGCAGTAAGCTACAGTTTATGTCTTCATGACTTCAATTGGCAGATCAAAGAAATAATAGTACAAGACAACCAAACCACATGTACACTGCCTTTAAGCATTAAGTTGGCTGCAAAGCTTTCTAATAAAGGACTTCCCCAAATCACAGGGCACCACCAAGATTTGAATTAACCTACCCACTAGCAGTTTGGAAACAGGACCCCAACCATAAATATTACGCTAACACTGTTTAAATGCTCAAGCGCATGCCAGGGACTATTCTGAGCAATTTTTATCTGGTGTGGCTCACTTAGTCTTTCCCTGAAACTCCATAAGGTACTTTTACCATCATGGTTTGTCCTGCAGATCAGTCAGCCAGGCACAGAGAGCTCAAATCACTAGGCTGAGGTCCCAAGGTGAGAAATGTCAGGATTTCACTCCAGGCATCCTGCCTCTTGACTTCATTCTGTGCCACCACTTATGATCTGTGAACCTGATTCAAGACCAGGAGTGGGGTGTTGAATGGGATCTCAGGTTAGTTGCTTTTTTGAAGGGTGCAAGTGAGTATACACAGTAAAAAATACACCCTTGAACAATGTTTCTGTGCCCTTGTGCTTTCACCATCACACCTAGGCAGTTCTACCAAAGCCCATCAGTTCCAGGCTTAATTCAGAGGGTGTCTGGCTTCTCACTGTGTTTGTTTAGACTGATACAAACACAGGGTAGACAAGAAAATTAAGGAGGGAAAGAAATCAGCCTTCAGCTTTAGGAGAAACAGAAGCACCCATGTGGAACAAAAAGCTGCTTTGTGAAGGGTCCAGTCCGCCTGCCACCCCCCGGGCCCTGAAGGCTATTTCCAGAGCCCTCTCGTGTGCAGCTGACTCAGACCCTTAGCTGTATCCCAGCCCTGCTGTGTCCCCTCCCATCCTACTCACTGTCTTCTTTCTGGTTGCAGGTAACCTGGACATCACTCCGGACGACCCCCGCTGGATCGGAGCCTGGTGGGGTGGCTTTCTGCTCTGCGGTGCCTTACTCTTCTTCTCTTCCCTCTTGATGTTTGGGTTTCCACAGTCTCTGCCCCCACATTCAGACCCTGCCATGGAGAGCGAGCAGGCCATGCTCCCAGAAAGAGAATACGAGAGACCCAAGCCCAGCAACGGAGTCCTGAGACACCCTCTGGAGCCAGATAGCAGTGCCTCCTGCTTCCAGCAGCTGAAAGGTAGAGACGCACCTCGAATGTGGTTGGCCAGGGGAATGGGGGGGCGGGGGCGGTGGTCTAGGCCGATGGGGGAAAGGGTGGTGCTCAGGACTGGGTTCTGGGGGCTTGAGGTACTTGTTCTTTTATCAGGAAGTCCTTGTGCCAGAGCAGCCTGGAGCTGCTGGGTTTCTGTCACGGTCCCCTCCCCACCTGGGGTCTGTGCAGTGCTCTGTAAGTTCCAGGACCCCCTCTCTTGGGTCCCTTGAAGAATCTGCTGGGTTTTTGAAGTGAGGAAGGAGCAAGGCTGGGGCATTCCTCCTCTATGAGGCTGGGGTGGGGGGAAGGCGGATGACCCACTTCTTGGCAGGATCAGTGTGCACCCATTAGCAGTTCCAGTCTTCCAGTGGCCAGTTTTGAAACGGTAAGTCTCTTCACCGAGCTTTTGTGCGACAAGGAGCACTGTCTTTGGAGATGCTTGAGAGCCACGTGGAGGAGCTCATCACAGCCCCTGGGCTCCGGCCCCTGCTCTGCTCTTCACCAGAACTGAGATCATTAGCTTCTCCACGCTTCATTTCCACGAGTGTATAGTTGTAATAGCATTCCTAAGTGACAGTGTGGCCGTGAGAATTAAAGCACTGCCCGCAGAAGACTGTCTGTTAATAGTGTTCATCAGAGAGGGATTGCAAGAACTTGTGCTAATTCCCAGAAGAGACTAATTAATAATCTGCTGTTATGTCTGAACCCATGTTCCACAATCGTTTCTACCAAAGTAGAAATTTGGAACTGTCCAAAGAAGATCTTAAAAGTCATCTCTGTAAGTTGCAGAAATGCATGAGTAGGAGGCGGCCATCTACTTTTTGTCCTCAGGGGTTGCCTTGGCTTGGACTCCCAGGAGTTTATGCTTAATAGAAGAGCCCCCCACCAACTCCCACCCAAACAGCTGGCCAGAGGGTGATGTCTACTGCACAGGTAGCCTTACAAAGTGTCCCAGTAACCAGATCTGCAGGAGTAAATGGGGCTGACCCAATCAATATTGTCTCCTTAACGGGAGACACCCTGGACCAAAGCAGTGGCAGCCTTTCTGGGTCTTTGTCCCATGGTAATTGCCCAGAGCTCCAATTTCAAGAGCTACCCAAGTCTTCTCTTAACTTTCATCTCTGGAGATGCAAAGATGAAAAGCTATAATTGTACTACCAAAGTACTTACCATCCAGCGTAGGGACAGAGCAGTAAGCCAGCAAAGGCAGCCTAATGTGGAAAGGATGGCAGTGCCAGGCAGCAGAGGAATTTATGGACGTTCAGGAGACAGGCAGGGGAGAGCCCACATCTTGGGTCTTCAGAATTCTTGGATTATGATTCAATTGCCCCTTAACTCCTTTGTTCAGCATGTACTGAGATCCTGCTAGGCTCCAGGGACACAGTGGTAACCCAGGCAGCTTATATTCTGGAACTTACATTGCAGCCATTGGGGGTGGGGGGTGACACACAATAGGCAGAGTTGAAGCAATGGCAAGCTGAATGTTAGACGTTCCATGGCCTAGCTGACAAGTACACAGTTGGATAGACAGGTCTGAGACTCATTGCAAGCCATAGTGATCATAAATTGTGGCCTGTAGATACATAGACTCCACTTCTCATAATTAATGATTTTTAATTAGAATTAGCAATCCCCAGAGGCCGTAGGTCTATTAATGGACCTAAAGAATGTCCCAGCAGGAAAGGAAGGCAGTGTGTCCAGAAGAATCCCCAGGAACCAAAATACGGTGACATGAGCTATTATGCTAATAAACAAATTTTACATACGCCAGCACATGGATAAGGGACCATGGTCGTTTACATCCTTCATTTTTCCATGTGATTCAGTGTTTTTGCCACATGGACATTTCCACTGAAAGCACCATGCAGTGTCACCCGGTGCTCCTAAACTCTTTATCCAATTTGCAGCCTTGAAAGACCCTGGTCTCCAGGCAGTGTGCAGTACAGATAAGCTTGAGTAGCATCGCATATGGAGGAATTAACATTGGTCTAAAAATAGGTATGTTGCCATTTCTCATCTGTTTCATTTGAGTTTGCAAATAGGTTTCTTCTTTGGCCATCAGTCCGCGTCCCCTGCCATGCTCTACAGATAGGGAAAGCTCCTAAGAAGAGCTGGTGTTGTGTCCCAAGAGCAGCTGCTCCATCCTCCCTCCGGCTGGGACTGAGACGATCTCCCCTGCTCTTGGGAGAGCAGCTGGGCTATTCATCTGGGTTCCGACCCAGCTCAGCCACTTCCTAGTCTTGCAGTCTTGGCCACACCGCTTAACTCCCCTTGGCTTTAACATATGGTGTCCTGTTTATAGATGAGGAAACCGAGCTCTGTGATATAGGAGTTTAGGCTTGCAGTTTACTTTTCAGGGTGCTCTCCCCCCTCCAAAAAGTGGGCTTTGATGGTCTCTTTCCAACAAAGTTGGCCATCATTGGGTTTGCAACTCTTAGAAGTTGAGGAGAGACACAAGGCCCAGAGTGGTGTTCTATAACTGTGTAGAGAAGCTGTTATTTCTCACACAGCCCAGAAGTCCCCATCTTGTAGTGACTGTCACATAACTGTTTAACAAAGCAGGCAGCAGACAAACAAACGCTTGGGTTTGTTAAACTCCAGTATCTTCTTGTGTGGGAGTCTGCAAGCCCAAGACACATTTTTGCATTTCATCTGTGCCCCCAAATAGCTTTTTCTTTGTGCCCTGGCTCTCACACTCCTCTTCCCCAACCATTTTCTTCAGAGCATTTGGCTGATTCATCTTTCAGGACACACCCCACCCCGTCCCATCCTTCCTCTGTGTTTGGCACTGTGTCCGCTCATCCTTTCTATGCTGTAGCCATGTGAGGGCTAGAGAGCACCCATGTGGCCTCCTGAATCTAGATGCCCAGAGTTTGTAGAACACTTTGTTAAAGTCTCAACCCAGAGGGAAGAAAGAATTCAGGGGACTGTTAGACAAGGGTATAATATTATCACCAGCTGGTATGTTAAATCTCACATCTCTGGTGTCACCTGCACTGGAAGGGGTTTGATGGTTGGGATCCAGGCTCCTTCAGCAGCCATACTCTGTGTACCTTTCCCATCATGCTCTGTTTGGTTCCTTCAACACATCAGACATTCCCCTCTCTCTTCTTGGAAGAGAAAGGAATGGAATACCCTTCCTCTGTTGGTCCACTTCTGGGTTAGATTCAGTCCCAACCTTTCATGGAACCCCTCCCTACAGCCCCACTGTGCCCATGTGCCACCCACCCCCCATGTCCAGTGCTGGATTAGCTATATTCCTCTGTCATATACCCAGCCTCTGCAAAGCACCTGTTATCCCACCACCTGGAGACTTCTCAGCTTATCTGCCTTTGCCCAAATCTTGTGTTCTCCAAGGACAAAGCTTTCATGCATCTTTTTATTTCCATTGCACAGCACAATGCCTGGCATGTAGATGATACCAACTGAATGAATGGATGAACAAACAAACGAGTATCCTCTTGCCAGCATGCATGCACTCATGTTCACCAGTGGTGAACTCTGGTTTTCCACACACTATCATACTTAATCCTCCAACCCTATAAGGCATTGGTATCATTTTACAAAAAAAAAGCAAATTGAGGCTTAGAGATTGAAAGGAAAGGTGTTTGAACCCTGGCCAGGGCCCCGGTGCCTGTCTTCCTAACTACAATGTGATGCTCCATCTTGGGGCATATAATGGACTCTCTTAATGGAGAAGTGGCCTCGGCAGGTGCTAGCCGACTTCAGCAGAGCATACTTAAATTTCCAGCTGCTGGTTGCAACAGCACCGGTGTACCGTAAAACAGTGGGTCTTCTAGACGAAGCTACAGGCTAAAAGGGCGGGAGGAACCCACTCCCTGCAAGCATTGGCACATCCTGACCCTCTCTGATGGGCTCTCTAGCTAGGATGAGTGTAACTGTTCCAGAGGTTTAAAATCCGAAGGGAGGGCCCTGCCTTTGATCTCTGAAAGAAAGAGCAGTCAAAACTGAGCACTCTTCTCTCTATACACTTCACGCTGACTGCCAAGTGGCCTCTTCCTGTCTCCGAAAAAATAGCTACAACTATCTTTTTGGAGCAGCCCAACTGGCAGGGCTCGGGGTGGGGTAGGGGGGATTTAGGCTCAGAGTCTTACTACCCCCAAAATGTGGAGGGTGGTTGATGAGTTTCCAGGCACTCGCAGGGACCTCCCACTGGGCCCCCACCATCCAGCTGATGCGTGAGTGTGAGTGTAGCTGATCTCCATGCCAACCATCCCATCACAGAGCTCAGGGTTAAACTACATTTCCAGGTCATCACCACTGGGAAGGATGGAGCTGGGACTGGGCAAAGGTCCCCGGACTCCACACCCCGAGCTCTCTCCACTGTGTTTCTCTGGGGGATTCACCAGCCTTTAATGAACTGCCTGAGGAGGAAGGGGAATCAGCCAATTGGAGCTGGGGCCAATTGAACAAAGACCCTTCCTGTGTCAGAGACACAGAGACACAGGTCCTTTCTCTGTTCCACTTGCTCCCTCTCCACGGGAGGAAATGCAGTGCCCAGTTCCAGAGGACCTTCACTTGCAGGGGAGATGAATCCTGCCAGGGGCTGTTACCTTCTCCATCCTGCCCTCCTCCAGCCATCCATCCCTGGGTTCTACTGATTTCACCATCTGACTCTCTCTCCAGCCTCCTTGGGTTATCTCCTGCCCTCTAGTCTGCCCCAACCCCACTGATCTGTCTGTACATGACGATGGTTTCAGAATGCATCTGATCCCGTGGCTGTCTCCAGCTCGAAGGGACAGAGGTGGAACCCTTCACGGGGCCTCCCAGTGGTGCTTCTCTGCCCTTCCAGCCACTGCTCACACCACTGCCTCCCTGTCCCTCCACGCCAGCCTCACCTCACCAGCTTCCTTCTAGGCCCCTGGGTTCCCCAGGCTTCCTCCCCACCCTGGGACTGTGCACCTGCTGTTCCTTCAGCTGGAATTCTGATCCCATCATCAGACATCAGCTCATGATCATGTCCT